AGTGTCCCCCAGGACACCATCCTTGCTCCTACTCTGTTTTTAATTTTCATTAATGACCGTCCTGATGACATCAGCTCTCAATTTGGTATTCACGCTGATGACACTACCTGCCTCGATAGTAAGGATTATTAGTCTGACAAGATCAAAATGGCAGCCAATGTCCAAAACGAACTTAAGTCAGTCATTAACTGGGGTAATATATGGCTTGCCAATTTTAACGCCTCCAGGATTATCTCTCTCTCTGTTAATCATCTGAGAGATCCCTTGCTGCCAAACTTGCTTGCATGGCTGATGCTATCCTCCGGGAAAATGACTCTTTGCGCTCTCTTGGGCTCACGTTCTCAGCTGACATGAAGTAGAAAGTCTATATTGAATCTATTGCTAGGTCAGCTGCTAAGAAAGTTGGTTCACTGTGTCGTGTTAGACAATTTTTCTCTCCAGAATCTTACTTATCTATAAGTCTACCATTCATCTTTGATTAGAATATTGCTGCTACATATGATCCACTGCCCCTGCTATTTACATTGAACTCATTGACAAGATACAAAGAAGAATGAGCAATATTATTGTTCCTGATCTGGCATCTCGGCTTCAGTCACTTTCCCATTACCTTAAGGATGCCTATGACTTTTCTATAAACACCTTCATGGTGATTGTTCGGATGAGCTCTTCTCTATAGTAGGGGGTAGTTTTAATTGTTGTTTTATTCTCCTATTCCTATAGACGATGGATTCTACACACGGGGACTAGTTTGGACTTTCATAGAGACAATGAGGTATTACGGTGGATGTTGTAAGAAAGAGAAATAAAAATGCATTGTTTTGGTGTAAGGAATAATGTTGTATGTTTGGGTCAGTGTTTAACATCAAGACAGAACAAGACCGTCCTTTTCCCTCTTTCCCCATTTTGACCTTGGGCTACATTTCTGTGCATAGCAGAATAAATATTGCCCTTCGCTATGGTAACTAGATTTTTGAATTTAACCACAGTATTAAACTGGTGTCGAGATCTCATCAGTTTACTGTTGAGCTGGCTAGATGCAGCCGCAAGTTCTATGCGAACAGTTCCTTCTTTTGCAATTCTCACTTGTAGAACTCCCTCCCGCTTCCATGCTTTCCAGCCAACATTAATCTGCAAAAATTCTCTCTTCTCTTTCTGCTCAACATTATTGTTTCTCTTCGTAATTCTTCCACACCCTGTCATATCTTTTGATTTAGTGGCTTTACTGCCTCACTTGTGTTGATACAGATTAATATATATATATATATATATATATATATATATATATATATATATATATATACATATATATATATATATATATATATATATATATATATATATATATATATATATATATATATATATATATATATACACCTAGTGAGCCAGACAAACCTACCTAGGTTTCACCTCAACGGATCGTCAGGGAAAGTTTTGACCAGTTTGTAGCTCTTTCTTTTTTTAAAACCTTTTTTCCCTCGAGATTGATTTGATTATTAGCAAATAAAAAATTCGAGGGTTTTCAAAACGAGTCTAGTTATCTATATTTTATATATATATATATATATATATATATATATATATATATATATATATATATATATAGAAAAAAGTTTCAAATTGAAAATTATAATGTTTTATTTTATGAAAGTATTTATTTATTTATATATATATTTGATATTTCAAATTGTCCTCAATTTTTCATCAGAAATAACTGTTTGTTACAAATAAATTAAAATTACTGTTTGTTAGCAAGTAGCGTCCTTCGCGAGACGCGGACGTCACGTGATATGGAACGTCACTGTTCGGATATTCCTAACTTAAATCTAACTTTCATAAATATTAAAAAAAAAAAAAATTTTTACTATATCTAAAAAAATTGCTTAACTATTGAAATATTTATAAAGATTTAAAACACCTAAGTCCCTATTCAACCCTAGTTTATGTATATATATATATATATATATATATATATATATATATATATATATATATGCATATACATATATACATATATATATATATACATACATAGACATATATATATACATATATATATACATATATATATATATATATATATATATATATATATATATATTGTGTATATTTAGGCAGCAGTTTTTTCAATGAAAATCTTCATCAACAAAAAAAAATCTTAGCTCATCAGACAATATGAAAGGAACTTACTTAAAATAAATAGACACAAGTTGTCTATATTATTTACTACTGATATATATATATATATATATATATATATATATATATATATATATATATATATATATATATACGTTTTATAGATTGTGCAAAAGCGTTTGTCACAATGAACGGTTTCGACTGCTAGGTAGCTTGATTTATTTAGGAAGTATATAAGAGTAATTCGGAGCTTAAACTTAAAGCAAACCGCCTGCATTACGGACAGAAAATGTACAAAAAGAGAAAGCGGTGTAAGACAATGAGGCGTCGACTCACCGGACTTATTCAAACTGTATAGTGAGGCAATTTTAAGAGAATTAGACATCCGACCAGGATTCATTATTGCCAATTACAAACTTAACTTCATAAGACATGCAGATGAGTGAGTGTTGATCGCAGACATGGAAAGAAAATTACAAAAGACCCTTAAAGAAGATAAAGAAGCAAAGCGAAAAGACAGAATGAAAGGTTGTTAGCAAAAAGGGTTAGCTGAAAATGCAAATTACAAAGTGGGGAGGCCTAAATCAGAGAAGTACAAAAATTTAAATATTAGGAAAATGTTCGAACAGAGGACGGAAAGTGTGACAGTGCGATCCGAAGGCTCATTAGATACCGAAATATGGCTTCCAAAAGCTAAGCAGGGTGTTAAGATTATTTATTTCATTTGTTTTTTTTTTTTATGGCTTATCAACTTTTTTTAGGTTATTTAATGCCAAAACCTATTTTTGTATTGTAAGAATTTTGGGGGGATAATAATAATTCTCATTCCCAGCTGTTATTCATTACACTAGTCACATATTATACTTAACATCAAAAAGAGGCAGCTGAAGTTCCTGGGACGCATAATGAGGAAGGTGGGCCTGGAGAATCTGATACTCACG